AGTGGGCTGCACTTGGCACATGACGTAAAGAAGAGTTGTCCCGTCTTGGTATAATTGGTCTTGGATTACACAGTTCCTAAATATAGCAAGGCAGACCCGTCAGTTGCACACCTACACACGTCAATTCACAGTGCGGCTGTGCTGAGACGCAGCGAGTGTGCCTCGCGCTCGCTGAGACACAGGCGCCAACCCACAGTGCGGCTGTGCTGGCACGCACACGGCGTGCGCCAGGCGAGCTACAGGTCAGACCCTCAGAGCCACTCTGGGACCGGCCTTCATCGCACTAGCTTCCTCATTTAATCAAATAGGTTCATCGTGGGTGACCGGGATTCTTAACGAATCAATTGCCGCAGCGGGCCTCCCTCGCGAGTTCACTGTTCGCTGTTTCAGAACCACAGACGCACAAACAGGGGTGAGCGAAAGTGCTGACCCACAAACGGTGTGCGAACTTGGTCGGTGACAATCTGACACTGTATTGTGGAATCACTGTTGCTCTTTAATAACCAAGCACAAACATGTCGCTTACTCTATTCTCCAATCTACGTCGAATACGGGGTGCCCACTTCGGCTGGGATCGGCCGATCGGGTCCATCGCCCGACTCGATCGCCTCAAAAACAAACGTGTTGTAGTGGGCACCTAGGCGATCGAGTCGGGCGATCAGCCCGATCCAGCCGTAGTGGGCACCCCGTATACCTGAGTGCGATACTTCACATGTCTCATCAATTTAATCATTACACTTTTCCTGGTGCATTGTGTTCTTCTAACTTTTGTTTTAAAGTGCACAGCTACTAATGACCATGAGTCAGTTTTTTTCTTCTTTCATACTCATTTAGGTATATTATTACATACGAGATAGCCATTGATAATTTCTGTGTCTGATTTCATTTTTCCCTTTTTTCTTTCACGGTTTCTATGTGAACCACCAATCTTCATCTCTCCTCGAAGGCAACCATTTGTTTCTTTATTAATAAAACATATGCATTAATGCACAAATGTCTCGGTGCTGCTGTTGTTCGTGTAACTGATGTTCGTAAAGATATAATATATTAACCACCGGGGCGGTGCAACTGACTGAAGTGTCTTTAGGCCGTCCCCAAAGGGGGAGCATTAACCATGATCTTAGGCACAGTAGAAGTGTAATTGTAAATGGGCTGATTCATTAATGTCATGCTCATAACTGTGCCTGAACTGGAACAGGGAACTGCTGCTTTTTCTTTCCTAATCCTTACTATCATCATTTTCCTCTACTTCTTTTGTAAGTTTGTCACACTCTCGTGACCCTCTATTTCCGGTCTGCCTTGATAGTCGAAGCAAACGTTGTGCTGTTGAAGCTAGAGAGGTGAGCAGAGTAAGCCTGCTTCTCTGTAAGGACTTGTCTGTTAACATCCACCCCTTGGCGCTCGTATAATAATAATAATAATAA